GAAATATAACAAAGATTAAACAAAACAATGAAAATCTTATGCAGATTTAAACCCTACCTTTCTCCTACACCAGATTAGCAAGTGGCAACCAAGTCATAAAATCACGTCACTAGTCAGAGATTATAATATTTAGTGCACCTGAAAATGGCTGTAAATCACAGTAACATTATATTAGCTGTTACTTTGTTACCACCATTGGGCCCAAGTGTAAATATGGCTTGATACACAAAGCAGGAGTTTAAACAACCATTGGGCCTCACTGCTAATGTCATCTTCTGAATTACCCTGAAGGCTAATTCTGCCCAGGGGAGATGGATGTTTGTGGCATTCTCCTCCCACAGGCTGCCTCAACTCCTCCAGAGGTTCTCCGCTTGCGGTGTGGACCCGCCCACCCATCAGTAGCACTAATGGCTACATCTACAGGAAAGATCGCGCCGAAAACAGCAATCTGCTCCCATCTCCGGAAGAACCAGTGGAAAAAATCTGAACAAATTTCTCAGTCAACATTGCACAAAGAAAAAATATATATGCGCATGTGTACGTATATAATCTCCCCATGGTCCTCTTCAATATTGTACCAGGACTGAGAAGCAAAATATACCATAAAACGTCTGGGGGAAAAAATAAGATTTAAAATGGGTTTACTTTGAAATCTACTTAAATATGAAGAGCAAATGTGTCCAAACAGCAACAAACCTCAAAAGCAAATCCAATTTGAAAAAAAAAAAAACACTTTTGAAGAAATAAAAAAAAAAACACTTCCAGAATTCCAATGTTTATATTACATTTCAATATTTCCAACTATAGAGCCAAGATTAAAGTTTGTTTTTAAGGGTGAGACCAAAAACAGACTATAAACATGTCATTTTCAAACTAATTTTTCAGAATCTTTCACAAAATAAATCGCAGACCGAAAGAGGTAGTTTGCAATTCAGTTCACTAGCTATGGAACTTGTAATTTGTAGGAGATAATTTACGTTTTCTCCTTGCTACACTTGATGGTGACTTGTGCCACTGTTGTGCCATTTCGTTTTTTATGAGAAAGATCTTCCTCCAGATTAGAGAAATTCTCTGAAATCTTAATTTATGAGGCGGAAGAGCAACCGACACCTTTGGCACAATCTGGCCTCACAGATGTTATTCCTAAAGTGACACCGGCCAATTTGCCCGCGTGAATAACAGCGTAATGTCGGCGTGTGGCCAACACCTTCACTGGAGCGTACAGGACCACTGTGACACTGCAGGAATGCCCACAAAGGGTCATATACAATTACAGATGATTCGCATTACAGGCCAGCGAACTCTGCACATCCCAAAGCAGGATTCACAGTCAGGGATGAAATCACAGGAAGTCCTATCCCCTTTGTCCTGCCATCTAAAACCAAACAAAAGGAGTTTTCTCCTTCTCTTGATGGCTTGTTGAAGGACTTTTGGGGCCATCGCGATTAACATGGACGTGAAACCGAGAGAACAGCTAAAACCATACTGCCTGAGCAGAGGAGCATGTGTGTGTCTAAATGAGAATGACGGATATGCTTGAAGCCTTAAAAAGAGAACATTCTGGTTGTAAATCAACACACACATGCGTTGTGGGCAAACCGTTAGCGATCCTCATCCTCTCTTTTTTACGAACTTGTAGCAACGTTACTTATTCCCCCTGGGGTCATAATTGCCTCTTTTTGAACCATCGGCAAACTGCCTTGCAAGCAAATGGATGCAAATCAGGTACAGTGCGAATGGAGGGATTGCGAGGGTGAGGGGCGGGAGGGGTCTGCAGAGCACTGGCGCTCAGTCAAGGTTAGAAATGACCTCAGCGCTATCCATTAATGAAATGACAACTTCACTGAAAGAGAAGAATGAAATATCACGAAACGCTGGCTGGCCGTCGCAGTGCCGTTGCCGTCGCATGCTAATGCGCTGCTGGGGGGGGGGGTGTAATGAATTCCAACAATGACCAAAATAATAATAATAATAGTGGGGGGAGGTGGAAGAGAGAGAAAGACCAGAAAACCAAAAGTACAGACGTACAATGC